TTTGAGAAACTAAGGACCGATTCCACCTCCACCGTTGTGTTAAACGAAGTTTAAAGTGACATTTTTACATAAATTTTATTTTCCCATGGGAATAAAAGTCGAGAATTGACCTCCTGGGCCTCAATTCTCGACTTCACCGGAAAATTTTCCCATGGATAAATATTCCCAGGCTTATATTCCAGTGATATTATAAAATGGTATTCTCGACAAGGTTAGGAACCTTTTTCCTATGGGAATTTCGATTATTCGTATGTCTAACGTATGTCGGGTATTAAGTATGTAAATATTGGAAACTGGCCAATCATAATTAATATTATATTTCAATACTTTCAAGTAGTAATGTTGGGATCATTGATTATATCGTCAACTTTTGACTATTGTTTTGCCACTTGCCATCTTGTCAGAGAAAACAATCAACCCCCTTTTTTTAGAAAATAGCGTGAAAATATATCATGTGCTGAATGAACCTAGTACAAGGGGCACAATAAAGCCCAAACGAAGAGTAGCTGCTACAAGGTTAACTAAAACCTTGAATACTAGCCGAAATATTGAACGCATGTTACAAAATAAAAACTTTAATAAAGAAAATTGTTCAATATTTTAGCTTCAAGTTTTTTAACATCTCATTATGTTATTAACAGTCGCTATTTATTTTGCGTAATAGAACAAAATTTATTCTGAAATAGCCTATTCATATTAATGAAACAAAATTTATTCTGGGATTGCTTATTCTAGAAAACTTGCGTTGATCATATTTGAGAAATTGTCTATCATTTAAGAATTCAAAGGGATCCCCTGCCTCATTTTTCCACTTAGACCAAAAATCTCTTGGGACATTAATTGCTCTTCTTTCTGCCTCTTCTATATTGTTTAATTGGGAAAGTAAAATAGCTTCATCCATTTTAGGAAAGGTATATTAGTAATAATATACCATGAGTAATAATAATATATAAATATTATTATTTGAAGTAACTAGCAAATGTCACCGGTGACAGATTCCCATTGGAAATTTGTTTTCCCATGCCAAATACCAGGTGTGTTTGCTCCCATACTTTTCGTGAGAAAATATTCCTAGTGGATGTGTCGAGAATACAAAATATAAATTCCCATAGGAAAATTATCTTTTTCCCCATGTGAAAAAAAGTCGAGAATTGAGGCCCAGGTGAGAGTTTCGACCGGCGCTAATAAATATTTTATTTATTTATAGCAAGTTTAAGGACAAAAACCTTTATTTTTGTTGTGCGCTCAAACGGCTAAAGATAAAAGCATGACATTTTGGGAATGGTTACATCTAACTAATATCTAAAAAGTTATAATAGCAGATTTTTGAAAAAAAAAAAAATAAAATTGGAGTGAAAATATTTTTTTTCTCAAAAATTAGACTTTTCAAAAAAAATCTGCTCCCATACTATTTTTTAGAAGTATGAAGTAAATTAACTCAAAAAAATCGCTTGGTAAATAACGGCGTTTGACTTTTATTTCAAATAAGCGAGGGTATGTATTCCTCTTAATCGTCTCGACTTTCAACTGACATTTTTAAATGAGATGTTATTGCTATAGGGACCGTGCGTCATGACTTTAACGCTAACTGGTGACAAAAATGTGAACTTTTTGGGGGGTATTTATTAATGTTTTATACGGCATTTATTGTTTAATAATTATTAATAAAATGAAGTCGAATTATTTTCGTAATATCAATATCGAAAAAACTTGTTGCATCCGTGGATGTACAAACACATCACTTTAGAAACCTGGATTTCATTCTATAGTAAAGAAATTTTATAAATTTCCACAGAGCACAATTATGCCTCACACCCAATGATATACATAATTACAAAGATTGCTTATCCATATGTAAATCAGACGACGAAAAGCGTATTTCACTGGGTAAAGTTTTCTTTTTATCTAGCTTGTATCAATTTTGAGCACTTAGTTGTAAAGAAATCATTTACAGAAAAATTAGAATCTTTAGTGTTTTCTTGTCATTAAAGGCTGTATGTCACGATACTAAATTAAGTACTAAACTTAGCACTAAATTAAGTCATTAATTTAGTACTAAATTTAGAACTAAAAATATTTTTAGTACTAAATTAACTATAGGCGCACGCGCATTGACGTATTAATACGTGAATTAAGCAGAGAAATAAAATATTCTGGGTAAAATAGACAAGTGAAGTAAAATGGTGTTTTTATTATCAATTTGACATGACAACAACCAAATACAGCAATGCTACTATAAACCACGAAAAAAACACAATAAAATCTACAAAATTAAACAAGCGAACTTTATTCAAGTCGATAATGCAAAATTTTCGCTAATTAAAAACAAAATGGTACAGAAAATACCGTCGGGTCAATTTTTTCTGTGAAAAACTTCTGCGCAACATTTCGACGCACTTTTAGTACTAAATTTAGTAGAAAATAGAACAAGTTCTAATTAATTAATGACTTTTTTAGTACTAAATTTAGTACTAAATTTGCTGTTTGCAACGTACATTTTCTTAGTACTTAAAAAATGCATTGATTTAGTTCTAAATTTAGTACTTAATTTAGTATCGTGACATACAGCCTTAAGATTTTTACATATTTAAATGACCATTTTATATAAATATAATTTTACAGATAATGGTTTATTCTGTAGATTAAAACTAATGTAGAATGTTATGAAATAAGAATATCCAATTTGACAAAAATATCACGGCCCTCTTTACAATTTATTAACTATTTCTCATTTATTATTAAAATAAACAAATCATAAATAATACATTGCAATTACTGTCAAAAGAGATTGTAACAAACTTTAAAATATTAAAAATCCAGTGATTTTTTGTAAATTTTTTTAGTGACATTACCATTAAACATTATTCAGAATAATAGATAAGTGTCCAATTACAACTCTTACCAAAGTTGTTCATACCTCATATCAAAATTGTTTACATTACCTTTTCAAAATTGTATAACATATTGCAATTATGTATTTTATGTAGAATTGTTTTTGAAATAGTAGTCTAAAATTATTTATATCCATCTGTTATAAAAATTGTTTAGATCTCTTAATATTATTTAACTACATGAAAACTCAACTTTCCAAATACATAAGTACATAAGTAAAACTTTATTATCTTTTTCTAAAGATTAAAATGCTGAAATTTTATTTTAACACATTTGGGCTAGAACGGCTCTAATTAGTGAGCACTAGGAAAGGCACATTCCAACCAGCTTTTCATAATTTTTTTATAGTTGGGTGAGCAATCTATAATATATGTATCATTGAACATCTCATAAACGCCAGTGGATGAATGACATTTCGATTAACATAAAGCTAAAAAGATTTATAATTATTATTATCAATCTTTTTTATTAATTTACATTTTTTAAATGTTATTGTAATACTTTTAAATTCAGTGTTACTAAATACCTATATTTTAACATTGGATACACTTGTTTAAGGTACAACTTTACAATTTATTGTCACTTAGCCATTTTAAATCTTTTTGCTTAAAATGTATATGCATGTCCAGATTTTAATAATGTTTCACATTTTACGTCATTTTGACCATGTACACGATTGTTTGGTACGGGCCGGTATCTATTTTTAACTATATTTAATATTTAAAAAAATACCCTTCATTATTTACTTGCAATGTTTACCCCATTTAATTCTAAAATTAAACACTAGAGAGGGCTAAGTTCGGCAGTAGTGCTGCCTCTATATTTCACGCACGGTCCCTATTGGACAACTTAAAAGTTTTTAATAACCTAGGCGAGGATGTAATTAAAAAAAATGAAGTTTATGACAGGTTTTAAAATAACAATTAGCTCCATTCTTCATTTATGGGATTTTCTTAAAACAAATTTCTTTTTACTAGACGTTTAAACCAAGATACATTAGAAAATTTGTTTGGTCTTATAAGACAGCAAAATAGTAATTGTGCAAATCTAACAGCCATTCAATTTTAAAGAACCTTTAGAAAGTTGTTCTGTGTAAAGTTACTCAATTCAAGAACTCAAGCGAGAATGACATGGATAATATGCTTCTGCGAGTATCTGATGTCACTAAAGAGGATACAAATTCATTCGTAGCTCATACACATCCCCATACATCAAATTTGACAAAAATTGATAGTAGTTATCAAAAAGAGTCCACGTTAAAAACGAATTTCAAAAGGTACTTTGCGGGTAACCTAATGAAAAAATGCCTATCTATACATTCTTGTACAATTTGTGAGGAATATTTAAAAGCTCATCAAAATTTGGACGATATATCTTTATTTTGTTAGTACAAAGCTTATAACTGCGCCAATTTAGATTTATTTGGTAACTTAAACATGCCACACAATGATTTTGTCAAATTTATCTCCTTTTTAGAGGTAATATTTCAAATAAATTTTGAAACTATTATTATACACAAAAATTTAATAGATACGTTTCAAAGTATTTGTAGAAATACAAGTTTTTCACATCCATGTGAAAAATTTCCACATAATTATTTAATAAAATTATTAGTAGAATAAGATTAGTTCATACTCTTAAATGTATTACCCGAGATTTTAAAACTATAGAAGACAAAAAAATTGTCATTTGGAAAGATAAGTAAATATTTTTTTATATATAAATCTTTTACTTGCCTATATTTGTAATGTATGAAAAATAAATCAATAGCTATCCAATATTTTTTTATTTTCCTGACCTCTTTTTCGGTGCGCCTATGGAATACAAGAAATAACTAAAAGACTAGGTCATAGCTCGTCGGCATCAACTACAAAGGAATTAAATGAGAGATATCCTTCTGGTTATTATTTATTCTTATGATCTGCATGGGCTTCGATACGCTAGAGTCTGTGAAACTTAAAGGTAATTGAAAACCTGCTGGTGAACCTTTTGACTGAGCTACAGTCATCAAAAAAAAGTAGGCCGTCCTCAATACAAATTTATATAAATATGCGCTACTGATCGGTTAGGCCACATTTTCCTAGTGCACAGTGTTTGTATAAACTTACCAACTGAACTTTCTTAAAACTCGGACTTAAAGAAATAATTTGTGGTCTTCTTCCCAAAGATCCAACTCTTACTAAACTGTGCTCATCCTCATCACTTGCACTTGCGGTGAGATTACTTTTTCTGTAAATAAAATAATAGCAAATAGAGAAAATTTTAATATACAGTAGTTGCTGGTTACATACAATGTAACTTTTCCTCCCACGAACTATTTGATACCCGACATTAAAACCAAGAGAATCAAATATACCTTTTCTTGTGCTAATTTCAAAAGGATATCCTACACCTTTTACGTTTTTCACGGAGCAGTTTGTTTCATTGTACCATTCTTGTAATTATAGAGGGTGATACCGAAAATTCGGTTTAAAGACATACGAGCAAATTAATAACATTGTTAAAAAATTATCAAATTTAAAACTGAACAGCTTGGCACTTTAAAGATAAAACAGGTGTTTGTTTTTAGGTGTGGGTCGATTGACTGACAGACTAATTAACCAACTCCCAATTTATCAACAGGACAATTTACCGACATGCGACAGGATAATTTACCGATAGGACAATTAACCGACAGGACAATTTAAAAACAGAAGAATTTTACCGACACGACAATTTACTGGCAGAACAATTGATCCTTACAATTTACCGTCAGACCAATTGACCAACAGGCCAATTTACAGACAGACCTATTTACCAGCAGGTAAATTTAAAAAACCTAATTAACAAATGCAATTAGAAACGACGGTAGATAAAAGTTAAAAGATCTTGAATCAACACTAAGAAAAAAGCTTTCCCTGATTCAACTAAAAATCACCCATCTGGGTCGAAAGACGACTTTTACGGCCAAAGTGTAAGCCGAGTTAACCTACTACATTCTAATACTGGCACAATTGTTTTACGGCTTAACGCCCCGATAACTGAGGCATTTAGCGTTTAATTATTCCGAAGAAATTAAAAATTCCTCATAACTTTTATAAAGATCGATTTTTAAAACGAAATCCCAAAATATCATTAAGACATCCTGAAGTGACTAGCCTTAATCCAATTGCAGCATTTAATAAAGGAGGAATTAAAACTGTTCTATTCGAATCTCGAAAAACTTTTAAAGAAGTTTAAATTTGAAGCAAACTGGATTTTTAACATGGACGAGACGATGTAACCACCGTGCAAAAGAAGTGTCCGAAGATTTATGGCCATAAAGGTGTTAAAAAATAAGAAGGTACAATTTCTGGTGAAAGAGGGAGAACAATTACAGAAGTATTTTGCATGAGTGCTGCATGAAATTTCATTTCACCCATGTTGATTTATCCTAGAAAGAGAATGACTCATGCGTTGCAAAAGAATGGGTGCCAGCTACAAATGTTTAAAAAACGGATGGATAAATTCTAAACTTTTTCCTAATTGGCTACTACACTTCCAAAAACCAGGCAAAGCCTACTGTAAATGACCCAATTCTTCTTGTCCTTGATAATCATTCCAGCCATATTTCTAGAGAGGCGTATAATTTTTGTATGTCAAATAATATTCATATGGTGTCCCTTTCGCCACATACTTCTCATCATCTTCAGCCCCTGGACTTAACCTTCTTTGGCCCTTTAAAAAATGCACTGTATCGAGAGTATGATACGTATCTTACTACAACAAGCCATCAAAAAATCACTGAGTATGAAGTAGCTGAGCTCTTAAATAAAGCGTTCATGAAAGACGCATCGATGGAGAAAGCAGCTTCGATGTTTCTCTCTTCTGGAATATACCCGTTTAATCCTGAAAAATTGAATGCAATGGATTTCGTTCCTGCCAATGAACTGCGACAGTTCGTAGTAGAAGGTTCTCCCGAACAAAATACTCCCAATTTACCAACACCTGTATCTCGGCCAGCTCTAAAAATTATTCCTACTCCGACAACACCTGAACCTAGTGAAAATTCAGACGATGAAGATGAACAAGCAGCTCATACCTCAAAGCGACAATCGCATGATTTATCTGTTCAAGGCCGTCTGCCATCTATTTCTGGACAAGACTGTCTACCATCCACATCTACCTCTGGACAAGACCGTCTACCATCTAAATTAAATAACTCATTTTTTCAATTTGCTCCTATTCCAGGAAAAGAAAAAAGGAACAATAAGAAAAATTTTTCGTTCGAAACAACATTCAGAAATTCTAAAGGAAAGATTAGAAGAAGCTCAACAAAGATAAAGGGAAAAGGAAGCAAAGAAAAACGTGAAATTAAAAAGTGTCTAAACAATAACATTAAGAAAAGGAAAAAGAAACTTAAAAGAGATCCAACACCCTAACTTAATGTACAAGAAAGTCACGATGAAGACGAAGTAGAGAATGCGTATTTCTCGATCCCACCTTCCATTTTTTTATGGAAATACTAAAGGAAAGAAAACGATAAACGAAAATGTGGCAAAAAAAATTAAAAAAACGTATATGCCAGTCTCCGGAAATTAAAAGAAAGGACTAACAACCTGAATCATCCTAGGTATCTGACATGAACGATAATGACATTTGTGATGAGGATGAAGTAGACGATATCAACACCAACCATGTTATATGTGATACCGAACCCGACAAGGAAACTGATTTATGTGGCATATGTGAAGAACAAGGAAAAAACAACCTATGATACCGGTGTGTTTTATGCGGCATATGGAACAACGCAGCATGTACTGGTGAAGAAAACGATATATTTGCGACTTTTGTCAAGCTTAAACCGTTACATGACATTATATATAATCACACGCTTCAATAAATATTTTTACTAGCTTATAAAATTGTTTATTTACTTCTCGATCTAACATACTTGGATTTTCCAAACTATCGCGCACTATTCCCCGCCCTGTGCGCTTCATGGGATGGGGAAAGATGCGCACATGCAATTTTTTACTTTTTCAACTATATATGCGATTATGTTAAGAATTCCATCAAATATAGTGGTACATGCTGAAAGTAGAATAAATATGGCTTCAGAAAACGTTATTTAAAAGTTGACCGCCCCAACGATTCTCGCTTAAGGACGGGGTATCCCTGTGTATTAAAAGTGTATGTGTAGACCAAAAGTTAAATCGACAGTTTTCCGAATATGTAGTGTTTAAAAATCCAATTTTTGGCCAAATTAAAAATAAAGGTCTAACTTAGGTCACCTTACTATTGAAAATTAATAAATTTATTATTTTCAATAAAAACCAATCATGTAAAATAACCCCCTTTTATTTCATCTCAAAGGTGCCGTGTAGATTTATTTTAACCTCGATGTCAAACAAATAATAATAAAAAAATGTAATACGACCTAAGTTCAACCTTTACTTGGAATTTGGTACACTCAGAATATTTAAATATTGTATATTTTTCAAAAAGTGTAGATTTGAAATTTATAAGTCACTTTCTTTGAAAAAACATGTCAAAACGAATTTGGACCAAAAATGGCGTCTAATTTAACTCTAAATAAACCCCGAAAAATCAATAATTACTTCATGTAATGTAATAAAGATGGTGCTCCGATCGATAATATTTTGACTAGTATCTGATTATTTCCGTTTATATTATGTGTGTTTACGGGGGATATACGAGATGATAATACTGCCTCTGATACTGTTTATATGATACAATTGGAAACGACCTTTTTTCATCGGCACTCTTTTTTCGCCGGTGACCTTTTGACACGCGCCTATTTGTTATTTGATGTATGATTATCGGTTATTTATCAACTAAAAGTATAGGAAATTAGTACATTGTGAATGATATCATTTTAATGCTATTTTTGAAACTAGTTCAAAAGTTGCATTTAACGATACTCAATGTTTCATTTTACCGTCAGTTTTAGTTTGACATATCCGTCATTTTAAGTTTACAAAGCTCAGTTTCTATTCGAAAGTAAGAGAAACAGTCAAAATAAAATGCGAAAAACACTTTTTATCAATTTCGTTTATGTCAACTGAAAGCGACAATTGCTGAAGACGTAACAAATAAATTAGGTCAAGAAATAAAAAAATCTATACTATAAGTAACATACCATATATTATACCTGTTAAAATAAATCAAAAATAAGAGAACGTATCGTTGACGTATATACTTTTCCATCTGTGATTAGTGATTACCAATTGCAAATTACGTATGAACATGCTTATGCGCAAAAAAAACATTATTTCAAGTACTTGTATCATTAAAGTCCATTAAATTATTATTTTTATAAATTTGCTAATCTTTGCACTTTAATTTTCATTATATGGGGTATCCAGACATTTTAATCGTCGTCCTCTTCTATTTAAAATTATCTCAGGTGCCATATATTCCGAGTAAAATTTTTCAACCATATTTTGAAAAAAAAAAATGGGTTGAAAATTAATTTTTTCAACAAATAGTGGATTTTCATCTCCAGTATATACTACAAAGTAGCACAATTTTCTTTGAGCTATACCTAGCTGTCCTTGAATCTAAAAGTATATAAAATCATTATTAGAAAATCAAACATAAAAAGAATATTAATATTGTAGTATCATTTCTAGCACATTTCTTAAAAATCATGAATTATTTTAACATATTGAAATTTTTCACCTGGTAAAAGTAGTTATGGTTTTCTTTTAAATGAATGTCACCATCTTCTATTTTTAAGCATGGAAATGGGTTTGAATATTAGGTAATGTGCGCCAATAATGTCAAATTATGACAATTCGCAGAAAACGTCAACTTTTTATTTAGATTTTAATGTGCAAAAGCCTACCTACTTTGGATATTGATCGTAGAAAAAATATATTCAGAATAATGGAACATTATTATTAAATAACAAGTTTTTTTATTGTCAATTTAATACGTAATATTATTTTTTAATTGCAAATATTTGAATGTTAAAATTATAGCGTTTAATTTTTTTATTCAATGACGAACTCGAGAGTGATAGAAAAAAAATACTACCTACCTTTAATGCAGGAAGTCGATGTCAATTTATCCAAAAATAAAACTGATTAAAATGTACAATGAAACTCACTAGGACACTTGGCACAAATAAATAAATTTTCTATTAAAGAAAATAACACTTATTAAAAACAAACAGCACAATAAAACACTTCAGAAACGTGTAATGTAATTTTGAAAACTAAATACCCGTAAGCTTGTTTGTAAATTTATAGACTCTTAACTCCTTCCCCCAGCCTTCATTAAGTATATTAAAAGTCGTGACGTCATATTGGCACAGATATACGGTAATGTGCTATTGACAATCAGTGAAATAACTACCTAAGATAAGATAAGATAAATGAATGTTAAATACCTACTCATAATATCTATTGTAGGGTTTTTGTACTTTAATAGGATAAATATTTATGCGGGCCTGGAAATTCCAGGAAATGACAGTCAAAATTACCCAAAAACATTAGGTTAGTACCAACATCAGATAACAGATAACTTCGGTGTTTAACCAATTAATCACAATTAATATTCTTGAACATTCAAATGACAAAAACTTCCATCTTTAACCAATGAGAATATAGTTTTCATTCGATACTTCAAAATCACAATTTATTAATTAGGTAGAATAGTTTTAAAATATATTGCGAATTGCAACACGTCAATAAGCGTCCCACTCCGACTCAATGTGACGCAATTATTGTCGCAATATATTTTGAAACGACTCTATATTCGTGACTTGAAATTATAAACATCCCTCGTATTACTACCCGTATATAAACCAAATTATTTATTTTAGGAAATATTTATATTTATATGAGGCAAGATATCGTTTTTGTTGTTACCATCTACATTCTTTACTTTGGTCCAGGAAACAAAGTCAATTTTCGATAAAAATAAAATGTAATAGGTAGGTAATATTTTATGAAACAGTACAATAAAAGTATTGAAATAAAGTATGCTCATACTCCAAAATGAGTCCTAGAGTTAACATTTTTATAATATTATAAATGGCATATAAAACGATTGGACCGTTTTCACAATCGCGAAATAATTTTTTTTATTTGGTGAAATCCCGGCAATTATTGAAAAATAGATTTTATGTTCAGGACTATTATTATGATTCTTCGAACTCAGTCTACTAAAAACCGGTTTATAATACAATATCGCCTAATAGCTAGTCGGTCGATATTTATAGTTACTTAAAGATTTCTGTAATAATTTGCACTAATTCAATCTCTAGTCGGTAGGTAACAGCACCTCCTTGATTGAATCTAAATTGACATAATTTTGTTCAGAAATTCCTAGGAGACGCTGTCCTTAAGTGCGCACCATTCCCCCATATATGGGGCGGCAAATTGTCTGTTTGTCCGGGGTGACATTAAAGCTAGAGCGGGCCCAGCAATACAATATATATTTTCTTTAAGTAGTAGGTTACTGGTAGTTACAGCCTTGTTCCATGGATTAACATGATATGATTCAGAACCAAAAACAAATAGAATCAGTTCTACAGCAAATAAAACCGATAATTCACTTCTTTTTTGTTTCAACAACGCTTTTTGACTACGGCGCATGCGAAATAGTAATGATAATGTTGAACAAATAACTATTTGATTTTATAATTACCTAAATAGAGAATCAAACGCCGATCTTAATCTACTTTCTGCCCCTGTAACTGTACTGTAGGGTGTTGCTGTAGGACTAGCCGATAAATACGGTGCAGATCCTTTATGGATTGTGACGGAATTTGTTTTCTTGAGTATGGACTTTTTGGGAGCGGAACCAAATACGGGATTGAAAGTTTTCTGAAAAGAAAATTCATTATAATTATGATTAAAAGGTTTACCAAACATTTGTAGAATCAGGCAAACCAATAAACCTTTGGACTAAATATAATTTAGTAAATTAATTTTTTTAATTATTTTAATAGATTCACTAATACATTCAAGAAAAACTGTTATGATTTGAAATCATATTTATTAAAAATGTTAAAATTACCTTGACTGATTTATCAATTTTTAAAAATTTATAAAAACATTTCAATAAAAATAATTTTTTTAATAAAATTTCGTGTCTCTAACATACATACCAAGTTATTGTTAGGGATGAATGTCAGGGTTGCTGGGAAGTTAGTCCTTAAATTGCTATAAGAGATCGAAAAAATTGGGAACAGGCTGAATTTTTTGCTTTTCGTGGGGTCTAACAGGCAAGATCTCAAATTGACATAATAATATTATTAATAATACTCTCCTTAATTCACCCCCTTACGAGTGAATTTTAACCCCAAAAGCTGAGCTTGTGCGGGAAAAGGAACGGCTATTATTATTATTTGCCGTGGCGCTCCGGGGCGACTTAAAGATGATTGATGGTGCCATTTGACTTACAGGTGAGGAAAACTCGGAAAACCTCACCCACCATCATACAGGGTATGAACTCAATGTATTATTAGCAGTTACGGATAATCCAAATACGAGTAATTTCCAGGGAACAAGAAATTAATAAGCTATGGAAGTGTGCGGAAAAACTATCAAACAATAAGATGCATGCATATCACATTCAGTTACACCAGGAATTATTGGACGATGATTTTCGGCGAAGAACAATCTTTTGTAATTGGACACAAAGAAAAATTCATTATTAAGGAATTTTTTTTTATTATATGCTTTTTGATATTCCATAAAAATGATTTAATAAATCGACATAATTTTCACTATTATGTCAGAGAAAATCCTTATGCGATAGTTACTACTTCTCAAACGAGATGGTCTTTAAATGTTTGGGTTGGTATTGTTGATAATTATGTAATTGGACTATATTTTTTTGAGGAAACAGTTAACAGTGGAGTTTATTTAGACTTTTTGGAGAATCAGTTGCCTATACTTCTTGAAAATGTTCCTCTTCCTATACGTCAGCAAATGTGGTAGCTTGATGATATGACTCCAATACATCATAATGCAATAATTCATGATCAACTTGATGATCAATTTTCAGAACGATGGATAGGTAGGAGAGGACAAATTTAGTGGCCAGCTAGATCGCCAGATCTAACAAAAGTTGATTTTTTCTGTGAGGGTGAAAAATGATGTGTATAAAATACCCGTAACTACAAGAGAGGGCATGAAAAATAGAATTAGGGTTTTTTTCCAGAACATTAGTATTCCAATGGCTAGAAATGTGAGGGGGTCATTTGAATATCTGTTTAAATGTAACAGGAGGTCATTTTGAGCATTTATTGTAATTATTTTGTTCTAAATACTATTTCGAATTTTTGTTTAGTTAATAACTGTTAGTATTAAATCTATAGTTTTATTTTTAATTTTTATATTATTTATAATTAACGTGTTTTTCAAGCTATCAATTGCTAACTCTACAAAACTCTCAGTATTTACCAAAATTATCGTTTAATAAAAATCGAAAAAACTTTACGATTATAACATTTAAGTAAAAGGCAAAAGTATTTTTTAGGTATTTTATGAAAATAATATAAGATACGGGGTGTTCCATTTAAAATAACCAAGAAAATTATGGTCGTGGGTTTTGGGTTACCCTGTATACGAAATGACAGATATAAAAAACATGATAAGTTGCAACAAAACTAGACTTCTACAAAATTATTCTGGCCTTGAGATATTAACCCTCAATTGTTGATTCTAAATAATACAGGGTGACGATTTCATTAGTACCCTGTAGAATAAAACCCTGGAATGGGGAAAATGAACAAAATTCGAATTCAACATTCCATATAGGGTGTTCTACTAAACAAATATAACTTTGGTATGCGGTGACTTTATGAAACACCTTGTATATTGCGAAATAATTTTAAAATGTGGAGTTGGACTCTATTTATAATTAAAACTTTTTTTCGTATCCCTCAAAGTCCGGAGTATAAGTTGATCACCCTGTAACCCATTTTCTATGGGAAACTCCACCACTTTGAAATGATTTTGGAATATTTATCTCGATTTCTATTGGCCAAAGAAGAAAAGTGTAAGAAAAGAAACTGTAGATCTTACAATTTTATTTTTTTTGCCTTAGGCATTAATAATTATAAAATATAAATTAATCAATATAATTTAAAGAAATTAATAAATTTTTAAAATAATAAAATTAGTTAAAAACGAGTATTAGAAGTTTTGAAAATAGTGACTACTTACCGCTACTTTGGGTTCCAATTCCCCCACAGAATGTTGTCGTTGAAGTACGTCAGGTGCTGGAACAACTTGAAATCTGGATGGCCTTCTTTTTCTTTCTTCAGCTTCAGCTTGAGCCTTTTCTTCAGCTTCCTTCTGTCTGATAGCAACAATCTTAAAAATTGTAAACAGGTATAGTTAATTTCTAACGAATTTTACAAGTATTAGAAATTAAAAATTTAAAAAAACCGACTTCAAAAACGTGCAGATGTCATCACCACATCTTAACTAAAATTATATGTTACCACCCCTGAGGTACCCCCTTACTACAAAAAAAGAATCATATAAATCGGACAAGGTGGTGAAGCAAATTTATATGGGACCACCCCTGAAGTACCCCTTTCTAACAAAAAAGAATTATTGAAATCGGACACCGTGTTAAAGAATTATTTCTGAACATACATAAAAAAAATATTGCGACGAATTGAGAACCTCCTCCTTTTTTGAAGTCGGTTAAAAATAATAGTTACTATGTCTGCCATTCTCTGAACGATATTTTACCTGTAATCTACGTTCTCGTCCAATATGTTTTTCGATTAACTGAATCAAATGAAGTCTTCTTATAGAACCAAGAAGTACCATACTGTCAGGCTTATCAACTAAAGGAAAACTTTGTAATCGTCTATTTTCTTTGAGAAGAGTTTTCAATTGCTCATATGTCATTCCATAGAAAATATATTTAACATCTCTCACCATGAAATCTTCGACATAAATATTGTAAATACCTGTAAAGAAAATAATAAATTTTAAACAAACTACTTGTGTCTGCAGCTTTTGGATTACATGCATAAAATACTACAGAAAATACCAATGAAATATATTTCAAGCTTTACTTAAGAGTAAGTTCTTTTACAATAAAAACAGAATCTAAAAGAAAACATAATAAAAACTTTCTTGTAGGTTGCAGAGACGTACCATTTTAAAAATATTATTTTAAATGTGAGCCATCCTGTATAAATAAATTAATTGGTATTAAAATGATTTGAAGTCTAAGCCGAGAATACCGATCAAGGAGAAGCGACAGCTTGGTGTTTTCAGTGTACCGTTTTGTAACGCGCATGTGCGAAAATAGGTTGTGTATCACTCAAAATTATGATATCTGTCAAAGTCAGTCCAAGTTGTGTTTAGTACGTGAGCAATGTTAAGTGATATTTTTTGGTGTTTGTTTTGTGTAGTAATAAGATGAAGATTTTTACACACTTAGGTATTCTAATACAGATATAAAATGTGGCAAAAAAGTTATTAGGAAACTAAGAATTTTATCACATGCATAAATATTAAGTATAATGATTTAATCATTTTTGACATTTTATTTTTCATATGTAGGTATTGTATTTTGTGAAATATATGTGTTTCTTCTTTTAAATAAATTTAATAAACAATGAACTGCAGATTTTGTTTATTTTATTTTGAAATTATATTTAAAAAAATATAATAAATTCGCGTATTTCAATTAGGATTGGTCAAAGTGGGCAAAATCCCTTTATTATGGGTAAATTGTAAGTTACAATTATGTCAATATAAAGATGTTTTGCCCATTCATATTTATATTTATTGAATGAATCATACTGGAGTTGATTTTGGAAATATTGGTGCATACTTAAATAAGTACTATTTCTAAAAATTCGTCTATGCCCACATAGTCCAATGGACGTCCACTTTAGATCTATTTGAGGGTCAGGACGTCCATATCCGGGCATCCAGTGTACGTCCGTTTATGCTAATTAAATTGACAGCTAAATATCGATACCCAGAAAACGTCTGTTTTTGGACTTAATTTTAAGTTTAGTAGTATTTTGACGTCCAGTGGACGTCCGTCTTAGGTCATTATTTATTAAGCCTACCAGATAATACTCATCTATATTATATACTTCTTTTTTTAATATAAATGGTCATTAAAAATTGACAAATTGAATCTATTGCATTTCATTCTATCAGCGAAAGTTTGAAATCTTATTCAATTATAACTGTATCTAGTAAAAAGTTTTCAAGCGGTTCCTTGGTCAAGCTCGTCTAGCGATTGAAAGCGTAAAACAATAATGGATGTGTCGTGAGTTTGATTCCTGCTCAGGTCAAGCGATTTTTAATAAAAAATAAATAAATGGTGTATAGCGGTTTGTGAAAATAATAAACAAATTATTAATAATATAAAATAGTGTGTGGTGAGTTGCGATTCTGTAAAAAAAAGTGGGGATGTAGTCTCAATGGAAATATAATCCTGGACATTTTTTGGATGTTCAGTATTCGACTTCCAAATATATTCCAGAATTGAACGTCCTCTGAATGGTCAAAAGTGTGCCATTTGTATACTTCACTGGACGTCTATTGGATGTCGGAAGTCCAGGAAAAACTTATTCTTGGACGTCTAGACATCCAAAATTGTATATCGAATGGACGTCCAATGGACATATTTGTATTGTCTGGGTGATAGCCAGGCCAGGTATTTAACTCTAAATACATAAACCTTAAATGACATTTGGCTTAACTTGGCGAGAAAACACTTGTTTATACAGAAATGAGTGATAAACTTGAAAGTCCTTTTAATATAATATAAATCCATAAATTCTAAAAATATGTAAGTATTTTTTAAACCTAAAAGTTTTTGAAAATATAAGCACATTGCAAATATTTAGTTTAGTTAAATTTCTTTTTAATTGTTACCCAAATTTTTTTTGGCGCCCTTAATTTTATTTACCTTATTTTTACTTAAGGAAAAGGTAATTTAATTTAAATATGTGGCTTTTATTAAATTTTTAACAATAAATAAACCAAATATTGAACAAATTTTATAGATAAATTATAAAATAATAAACGTCTTTTACTTTTATAACAAATAATCAATTATTACATAATTAAGTATATTTTGGTGCCGAAATTTCACCATTGCTATTAACCATAACTACTTCAATGTAATTAAATCACATTGCAACATTTGCGCATGGATTATAACAATAATTTCAGATAATTTGCCAAACTATTTCGCTCAGTGTAGAAAATAAGCATGTTTTCTCAGCGTGCTAAGTTGTGTATCAGTCAAAGTCATACTGTGAAAAAGGTACATTCGGCACCGACAGCTACTGTCGCTTCTCCTTGATCGGTATTCTCGGGTCTAAGCGTCGGCGGTCATTGAGTGGGGGAAATTTATTAAGAAACCTAGCGAAGCAGAGTTTTTTATCTTTATCTTTGTCAGTTATAAGTAGGTAGGGTTAGGTGTGGCCCACTGAGGAATCCGAGTTTGAATTCATTTATCTTTTTCTCCAAGAATCAAACGTTAAATTAAAAACAAGTGTCTGACTGTGCAAAAGTAGTAAGTTTTTGTTCATTGGAAAAAATCTAATTAGTCTTTATATTTCTACCTTTTCTTTAATTAAAAGTTTAATTTTTGAAAATCAATTTTGAATTATTCGATATGTGTTTATTCATTCCTTTTATGTTGTTGGAATTTCATATTGTTAATATTATTATTTAGTTTTATGAAAAAGTAAATGTGTTAATGTTTTAATTGTTGAAAATTTAAAAAATAAATGTTTAACAGTTTTACTTATATCTCTTGCAAGGGTCTCGAACAAAACAGAATTTATTTTTGTTTAGAGAGTGAATATTTGGCAGTCAAAGGATCTAAGGATCTAAGGATCTTATTCAATTTTATTTTCATTAGAAGTCGACTCGTTGAGTTGAATTATGAAGCATCAACCACCTGATTCCCACAACTAAAGATCGTAACTTAGGTATTATTTTAACTAATAATCGCCAGCTAAATCGCAGATGCAAACTAATAAAATTATCGTACGTTAGTCCAAGTCCAAGTTAAATCTATCTGGTAATTTTTAGTATTTGTAAAAGCATATTAGATTGCTTATTCTTTGATTTGAATTTTTGATATTCAATGTAAGTTTTATTTGATATTTTTGTAAAAGTCTATAAACATTTCTACTATTAACTAATGAACCAAAATTTATTTATAATTTTTTGAATCTTATTTTTAATGGTTACAACATTTCTTTGTTTGCTAAAATTATTTATAACTCTGGGTTTTTCTGTTAATTTTGTCCATTTATAATTCTCAACTAGCTTTTTTTTTAAAAGAGTTATTGGCACCGATGTATCCTGCTATCCTTTGAAAATATTAAAGATATCAAGAAAATCTACAAAATCAAAGCAATACTTTATCTAAGAAAGTCAAAACTAGTTCCGCAATGCAAAAACTGCTATTTACATACACATACACACAACTTTTGCAAAAGAGAATCAAGATGCGTAAAGTTCGTAGGACAACTTCATATGAAGGATTGTGTAAAAATTCCAGAACAATAACCGAAGTGTATAAACTGCCTAATGGTACATCCGGCTAACTAAAGAGGATGTGAGGTAGCTAAAACCTTTCAGATAAAAAAAATAACACCACTAAACCTAAAATAATGACGAGGCAGAACAGACCCACAAACGCTTTTCCTACTGTGAGCAACCAATTCAAAGGTCACAACCAGCCATTAATTCCACGCCACAAATTACACAGCATACTGCACAGTCAGCCAGCCTAGCAGAAAGTACAACTCATGAATTAATATTATTATCATCCTTAATAACCAGAATAGATTCACTCTCTGACAGGGTCCAGAAGATAGAGGAATTAAATAAACCCCAAATATATAACAAAACCACCAATGGACAAAAGAGATATTAGAATAGCCACTAAGAAAGAAATGGCAGATGACAAGATTACCAGAAGATAAAAATTTATTAAATAGGGCTACCCAAGGACTGAGAAGAGAAATCCTAAATCACAAAAAAGAATCCTTCAACAGATACCTAGAGAGCTAACAGATGATAAAGAAATTGATTATTCGCTCTGGAAGGCAACTAAAAAGGTGAAAAATTCATATAAACACTGTCCTCCTATCAGAATAGCAGATAACAAATAAGCAAGAGACAATCAACAGAAAGCTGATATTTTCGCTGATCACCTACGAACATCAAGACACTCCTAATGAGACGATCAATAATATCGAACAACTTGAAATTAGGCTAGTTACTCCCAACGGAAAAAATTCAGATAAACATCAACTCACACAAAGCCCCAATATATGACCTTATTAATGGAGAAATATTAAAGAAACTACCACGGAAGGCTATTGTTAAATTGACATACCTCATAAATGCAGAATTACGCCTTTAACATATACCTGATGCGTGGAAAATGTATCCTAATTTCTAATCCAGGAAAACCTCCGAATGAAGTGTTATCATATAGACCTATATCATTCTTACCGATAATATTTATTTGTTATTTGTTATTTGAAAAACTACTACTAAAACGACTAAAAACAATAATGGAAAATAAAAATCTGATCCCATCGCACCAATTTGGTTTTAGCCGAGAATACCGATCAAGGAGAAGCGACAGTAGCTGTTGGTGCCTTTGATATCGGATGTACCTTTTTCACAGCATGACTTTGATTGATACACAACTTAGCACGCTGAGAAAACATGCTTAATTTCTACACTGATCGAAATAGTTTGGCAAATTATGTGAAATTATTGTTATAGTCCATGCGCAAATGTTGCAATGTGATTTAATTACATTGAAGTAGTTAGGGTTAATAGCAATGGTGAAATTTCGGCACCAAAATATAATTCATTATGAAATAATTGATTATTTGTTATAAAAGTAAAAGACGTTTATTATTTTATAATTTATCTATAAAATTTGTTCAATATTTGGTTTATTTATTGTTAAAAATGTAATAAAAGCCCCATATTTAAATGAAATTACCTTTTCCTTAAGTAAAAATAAGGTAAATAAAATTAAGGGTGCCAAAAAAAAATTAGGTAACAATTAAAAAGACATTAAGTTTGAGAGGTTTAACTAAATATTTGCAATGTGCATATATTTTCAAAGCTTTTAGGTTTAAAAAGTACTCACATATTTTTAGAATTTCTAGATTTATATTATATTAAAAGGACTTTCAAGTTTATCACTCATTTCTGTAGAAACAAATGTTTTCTCGCCAAGTTAAACCAGATGTCATTTAAGGTTTATGTAGTTAGAGTTAAATACCTGGCCTGGCTATCACCCAGACAATACAAATATGTCCATTGGACGTCCATTCGATATACAATTTTGGATGTCTAGACGTCAAAAAATGAGTTTTCTGGACTTCCGACATCCAATGGACGTCCAGTCCAGTTCATTCAGAGGACGTCCAATTCTGGAATATATTTGGACGTCGAATACTGGACATTTAAAAAACGTCCAGGATTATATTTCCATTGAGACCTCATCCCCACTTTTTTTTAAAGAATCGCAACTCACCACACACTATTTTATATTATTAATAATTTGTTTATTATTTTCACAAACCACTATACACCATTTATTTATTTTTTATTAAAAATCGCTTGACCTGAGCAGGAATCGAACTCACGACACTTTTCCATTATCGTTTTAGGCTTTCAATCGCTTAATGAGCTCGACCAAGGAACCACTTGAAAACTTTTTACTAGATACAGTTATAATTGAATAAGATTTAAAACTTCCGCTGATAGAATGAAATGCAATAGATTCAATTTGTCAATTTTTAATGACCAGTTATATTAAAAAAAGAAGTATATATTATAGATGAGTATTATCTGGTAGGCTTAACAAATAATGACCTAAGACGGACGTCCACTGGACGTCAAAATACTACTAAACTTAAAATTAAGTAAAAAAACAGACGTTCTCTGGGTATCAATATTCAGCTGTCAATTTAATTAGCATAAACGGACGTACACTGGATGCCCGGATATGGACCCTCAAATAGATCTAAAGTGGACGTACATTGGACAATGTGTGCTGTCTGGGCATAGACGAATTTTTAGAAATAGTACTTATTTAAGTATGCACCAATATTTCCAAAATCAACTCCAGTATGATTCATTCAATAAATGTAAATATGAATGGGCAAAAGATCTTTATATTGACATAATTGTAACTTACAATTTAGCCATAATGAAGGAATTTCGCCCACTTTGACCAATCCTAATTGAAACACGCGAATTTATTATATTTTTTTAAATATAATTTCAAAATAAAATAAACAAAATCTGCAGTTAATTGTTTATTAAATTTATTTAAAAGAAGAAAAACATGTATTTCACAAAATACAATACCTACATATGAAAAATAAAATGTCAAAAATGATTAAATCATTATACTTAATATTTATGCATGTGATAAAATTCTTAGTTTCCTAATAACTTTTTGCCACATTTTATATCTGTATTAGAATACCTAAGTGTGTAAAAATATTCATCTTATTACTACACAAAACAAACACCAAAAAATATCACTTAACATTGCTCACGTACTAAACACAACTTGGACTGACTTTGACAGATATCATAATTTTGAGTGATACAAAACTTATTTTCGCACATGCGCGTTACAAAACGGTACACTGAAAACACCAAGCTGTCGCTTCTCCTTGATCGGTATTCTCGGGTTTTAGTAACAAACACTCGACAAAATATCAGGTACACAGGATAGCCGATATTATCGAAAAAGCTTACGAAGAAAAATATATATGCTTAGCGATATTTCTTGACGTAGCCCAACCAATTGATACAGAAACTTTAAAATATGCTCCCTAGACAATATGTCGACATTGTATAATCCTATTTAACGGGAAGAATGTTTAAAGTAAAGCAAGACGAGGCATACTACGAAATAAAAGAAATTAAAGCAGGTGTTCCACAAGGCAGTGGTGCTCTCATTTGGCGAGCACCCAAAGAACTTCCAAATGATTTTATGTTTAACGTTTTGTGTCATTGTTTTATTTTTTGGTTATATGCAATGTTTTTACAGTGACAATCATGTGGTCTCTTCTTTTTCAATAACGTCACTGTTATTTATTAAGCTATGCTATTATTTTTGTGAATCAGGATTATCCGAAGATCCAAACGATGGAGACTACACAAGGAGCACGCACTCCATGTATAACAAGCGTACTGTGTTAAACAGAGTATTTTAAGGGGGCGCTAGTGTTCCATAAGTACCAAAATGGCATAAGAGAATGAGGCGGTAGTTTGAAATAAAATAAATAATTCTAATTAATTATTAATTAATTAATTATAACTCTAATTATATTTATTTAATTTAAAAACATTTGACACGTGTTTACGTTAATTAAATAATCGGTTACTTTATTTTCACGCTAACTTCACATTTGTTTATTCCTCTATATTCACACCGGTGCAAAAGAAAAATTAGCGACGCTAGTGGTGAAAAAAGAAAGCTTTATTTATACGATAAAGTGCGGACATACTCTGGCAAATGCCACACTTGAGTGCGTGCTCAGTCTCCATGATCCAAAGTAGGCAGAATATTGGAAGCAATATATAAAGGATCGCCATTGATATGCTGGTCATAGAGAGACCAAGATAAACGACCAAAAATTTTCAACGTCAAATCACTCACTCATGAACCAAAACTCCGCATGCACCATATTTATTGTTTATTGTTTTTTTATATATTCGAAAATAAACATTTTTAAAATTAATTTCGTTTCCAGTTATTCGAAGAATTTAGAGGTTCACCAACAGATGACCACTAAAGACCCCTTTATTTAATATACACCAGCGATATCCCCCATCAACAATAGGCGTTTTCGGAAACTTACTCGGATTGGAAAGATTATGGATCCTATTGTTTGTTTACCTATAGTTACTAACCTTATCCATGTTCGGAAACTAGTAGATTACTGATTCATCTTTGTGATCGAGATCAATATTTTGTGACCCACTCTACTAGTAGATTAGTAATAGATCCGCGAGCGCACTGCAGGATTTTATAAAGGGATAACGCAATTTTTGGTGTTTGGTATCTGCCAGTAGTAGATTTGAAGTTTTTTTCTACATTCAATTAGTTATAACTTGTAATTTTTAGGCCCATATTGCGACTTTATTATTCAGATTACAAATATGTTTAATTAAAATGGTTCTTTAACTAATAGGGAGGAAAAGTCAAATATTGACAGCCGTAGATAAACAGGATCAATAATTCAACTCGTTCGTAAACTGTCGGCACTAAGTTCAGTAATCCATCGGGTAAAACCAGTAATCTGGATTTGTTATCTATAGTATGTTTCCGAAAATGTCTAATGTGTTAAAGTAGCAACGTTTGCGGATGACACTGCAATATTGGCAGTTGGCGGAACTAATTCAGAGACCTCAGAAAAACTTCAGAAAACCTGCAACAGAATCAATCGATGGACAAAAAAGTGGAAAATAAAAATAAATCAAACTAAATCAGTGCATGTTGATTTTACTCTTCGACCAAATGAATAAAAACAAATAAGAATAAACAATGATGTTATTCAGCATCACGATTTGGCCAAATACCTAGGGATGAACCTAGATGTAAGACTTAAATGGAAAGAGCACATAAAAAAGCGTAAAGAACTTAAACTTAAATTCAAAAAAATGTGTTGGCTCCTAGGAAGAAAATTCAAATTGTCAGTGTACAATAAACTACTGATTTATAAACAAATCCTAAAACCAATCTAGATTTATGGCATACAGCTATGGGGATGTGCCAACAAGAGTAATATTTACATGATACAAGTTTTTCAAAATAAAGTCCTAAGATGCATCGTTTATCTTCATAGAGACCTGAAGATGCCAACAATCGAAAAAAAAAATAAAGAAGTTTGCTGCGAAGCATGAGAGTCGACTCCACTCCCACGTCAACGAAGAAGCACAGAAGGATCAAAAGGAAGAAGCCATTTGAGCTAGTGCAGTGAACGTTAATGTAAGTGCTAGTATAAAACAGTGTAATAAATCGTCACGCCAACGCCAAATTGTAGGTTAGTCAATAATGACTAGTAACAATACTCTAACAAAAAAAAAAAAACTGGCTTTTTTTTTAAAAAGTTATTGGCACCTATATATCCTTAAAACTATTTGCCAAAAGTGTATTTTAGATAAGCCTGACGAATGAGAAACCTACAGTCTCATATGCCCATTTGATTTTCTGATTGGATTAAGACGATTAAGGTAAGTAAATGGTTTAATATAAAAATATCTAAGAGCTAGTTAAAATGAAATATAATTAATTAACAAAGGTAATTACACGTTAATTAATACTAATTAACTACTTTTTATTATAACTAATACAGCTTAAATTGTGAAACAGACTTGCAAATCGCAATTTGTCTAATTTTTTTGGATATTCAAATCGCATTATATTTTACTAAAAATGTATTGTAAAATCCACTTAGACATGCAAAATACATTTAGTCCATCGACATTACAGAAAAAAAAGCATTTTATTCGCAATACGACCAACCTGCGTTTAGTCTAGTGGTGTATAATTAGCAGTGCAGTAACTACTTTATTTTGGGCCATGTCATACATTATGTCTAAACCCTGTTATGGAAAACTCTTAGGTATGCTTTTTACAATTATAACCTTGAATTATTTATCTTTAAGTCAAATCTAGAATCAATTTGTAAATTTATAAATTTTATTTTGTAAACATTATTTTAGCTTCTATTAAATCTCATAATTGTTACTCGGGTATGTAATGCTATCTTAATAAAAATACAATTTGTCCGATTATACCAACAAAATTTTATTTATTTATGAAAATTAACTAAGACCATTTACTTACCACTACTACTTGGTAGTAAATCCGGAAGATATGGCAATTTCTTGATGAGTATAATACTGTCATAAATACTTGGTGCAAGTAAACTTGAAATCGCATTTGAAATTAAAACCGATATCATAATTGGTATGATATGAGTAATTTGTCCTGTCATTTCAAATACTATCACAGATACAGAAATTGTGTGCGTTACTCCTCCACTAAAAGCAGCAGCACCTACAGTGGCATATCCACCAGGAATGATTTTGGCTACTTTGCCGCCGTACCTCATACCTAGAACAACCAAAAAGCAAATAAATAAAGTTTATTCATCCAAATACAATACAATTAAGTATAATTTTTTACAATAATTTATTTTTTAACTTGTTCAACCATTATCTTTTCTGTAAATTATTATCTAAAGAAATATAATTTATTTTTTTATTTAGTTGTTGGTTTACGCTTTAAATTGTTTTACCATTTATATTTATAAAATCTCACCCCGCATGTGCGGACATTTTGAGCATAAATTTTCAACGCCTTTATGGCAAAATTCACGGTCACACTAATAGTGTTTTTATTTTTTAGTAAATAAATCATGCCACGATAATACAAAAGAAAATTGGGACACGAAGATATGCCAATTATGACCCAGCAACATTGGAGGTAGCACTACAGAAAGTAACTGAAGATGACTGATCATTACGTCGTGCTTCAGCTAAGTTCAAAATATCATTTGGTACCCTTAGGAATAAATGTGGTTAGCGCATTTAAAAAACGGCGGTATAAAGACGAACCATCTTCTCTAAAAATTAAGCTTTCTTTAAGTCTGTATCTTTGTATGGAGAATGGGGCTTCCCTTTAAATGTTTTGAACATAAAGAATATAGCCAAAAACTAATTAGATAGTAAAGGTCGCAATATAAAGAGATTCAAGGATAATAGCCAGGCAAAGATTGAGTTTATAACTTATTAGAAAATAACAAAAGTTAAATTAGTCAACATCTGGCCAAAAATATAATAAAATATCGAACAAATGTTTCTCGAGAAACTATAGTTCAATATTATGAAAATTTAGTCTCTACAGTTACGGCGTCGGTATTAATTTCTTCTTTTTTTACTTTTCTTCAATTGTTGTATGGGCACAGTTTTTCACTATCTATCCAGTGCCAGTGTTTTGTTTTTATTTTACAAAAATCAGCTCCTTAGCAAGTCAAGTAGATCTCAGATAGCACTAGTAAAAACTGATCCATACAGATAAAGCAGATGTCAAGAAAAAAAGAAGAAAATTATGCTGCGCAGCAACCTTGGACAAATTGCCGAAATGATAAATTAAAGTTTCGCTTGAAATAAAATCCTGCTTCTGTTACTTTCTGTGTACACTTATAGATGTCGCAAAGCTCTTGTAATAACCTTGCAATGGCAATTATGTCTTTCGAAAAAAATCTGTTTTAATGTTATAGGATCAACTCCCACTATTATTATTTAACGAGTGTGTAGTGATTTTCTTTGTCAAAATAAATAAATTAGTAAACTCTACTGATACTTATTATTTTAGTTATTCCTAGCAATAAATTGCCCGATTATTGGGTTATTCGACCTATGTCTAACTCAGCTTTCACAACAATAAAATATAATTTAAGGAGGTCCTTTCGCCACCCCTTTCGCCACCAATGTTAAATAAAAAATATTAGATTATGACTAAAATTTTTTTTCTTTCTAATAGTTGAAGTCCTTATTTATCTAATAGTGAACTTTTAACTATACCTTACCGTGCAAATTTTTGAGAATTTTTTTTTTAAATGCGAGTATTTGTACAGTGTCTTACGAGAAATTAAGACCTCAACAACAATTCTCGAATTATACTACTATTTATTGATTAGATGGAGTAGAAAAAAACTAAAAATAAGGTTTTTGAAATATTTAGGTTTTGTTTTTTACAATAAAATATATAGGTTACCGTGGAATTTATTGAGAAATTAATATTAAAAAAAAATTTCAAGCAACTTAGTTGAAAATTTTTTGTGATTTTTTATTATTAATTTCTCAATAAATTCCACGGTAACCTATATATTTTATTGTAAAAAACAAAACCTAAATATTTCAAAAACCTTATTTTTAGTTTTTTTTACTCCATCTAATCAATAAATAATAGTATACTTAATTATAATTCGAAAATTGTTGTTGAAGTCTTACTTTCTCGTAAGACACTGTACAAATACTCACATTTTTAAAATTCTTTTTTCTCAAAAATTTGCACGGTAAGGTATAGTTAAAAGTTCACTATTAGATAAATAAGGACTTCAACTATTAGAAAAAAATTAATTTTAGTCATAATCTAATATTTTTTATTTAACATTGGTGGCGAAAGGACCTCCTTAAAATACACTGTGAGCGCTGCGAAACTCAAAATCATTTTTTATTCCAGAGGAAAATATGGACGTCAGCATGGAGCATTTACAATTTTTCATGGTACTTTATTTTCAATCTTATCAAGATTTTCATATTGAATACACTGACTGTGACCCAGAATACTAAACCGTAACTCGTGGTTCACAAGTTTTCGAAAAATTTTACAATAAAACGCACCTACAGTAAGTAACGTCTCATCAGGTTACCGTTGGAAATAAATAGCATTAAAGTGTTTGAAGTTTAATATGACATACCAGCATTGGGATTCTCATCTTTCAATACGGCACGTGCTGAGACGATTATCTTCGTTCCACAGAATGCGATTCGTATGTAATGTCTCTCTCGATTCACTTCGTTACATGTTCAGTACGCACATAAGAATCCTTGTCCAGGTTTGGTCCAACAACGAATCTGCATTGGGATTCTCATCTCTCAATTCAGCACGTGTTGAGACTACTATCTTCGTTCCACAGAATGCGATTCGTATATAATGTCTCTCTCTATTCAATTCGTTACGTGTTAACCCTAGTGTTGCCATATGGCAACACCTCCCTTGTCTTCTTAAAGAAAGTATTTGCGGCAAATGAGAGAGAGAGTGCAGGGGTGGGGTATTTATGCCGGTTGGCTTGTTGAGATGTGCAGTAAGCACTGAAGCTGTTGAATTTTAGTGGATGCAGAGTAGTTGAGCTGTACGGTACATTTGTTCCTGACGTTATTTTGTGATATGTGAAAAAATGGACGCTTTGTAATAATTGGCAATATTATTTTTAAAATATAAAGAATTTAACAAAAATCCCAAAAATATCTAATAATTTTAATATCTATTAAATTAACACAATATATTTATTAAAGCCAAACAATTAGAAATAGTTCATTGTACTAGTAAATTAAAGGACAAATCGTGCGAATAATCATTAAAAATAAATAAGTCGAGTTTCTTTTAAAATAATCACGTTAAGGTTGATATAAACAGAGAGTCAATCGTTGACACAAAAAGACTCAAGGGGCGGCCGTTGGGCCAAACCTATGCCCAAAAATTTAACTTAGTAATTATTAGTATTTATTATATATAGTAAAGTGTGTGTGTAGTGTTTTAGTTTCAAAGGTAATATCTATTTTATTTTAACATGTTTAAATCCTTGTTTGGGTTATGTATTTTAAAACAGTTCATTAGTCTTTTTTCAAATGCCAATTCTTTTATTTTCGTCCCAAGTTTACTTATTAAATGTTTATCAGTTTTAAGGGTTTTATCATATAAAGAGTTTTTTTTATTATATTAAAAAGTTTTGTGATGTAAAAGGTTTCATTATATTAAAGTTTTATCATAGATTATATTATATTAACATGGTTTATCATAATAAAGATTTACAATTGTGGGTAGTAATTTTTGCTTGTCTTATTTCAAAAATAAAGATTGTTTTGATTTATTGAAATTGTTAATCCTTTTTTTCTTATACTTAAATATACATGTTATTGTTTATTAACCTATTTTATTCTCACATCTTTCCAAAAACCAGTAAGAAATATTCCGAGCATGTTAAGCCTCGGCGTTCCTACCCTTAAGGACTTGAGAGTCTTAAGTCAGTTGCCAAAACATATGCTATTAAGGGATGTTTTTTTTGAATTTTTATTATTTTTTTTTATTATTTAATTTTGCCACTGGCGAATGGATGTTCCTTCAGGACTCCAGGACCCTAGGGCTGGTGACAGGTGCTGCTTTTATCCCTTAATAGTATAATGACAACAGTAGCTAAATACCTATCAGTAGTTGCAAATGGTCTTTAGGCTTGCCGGTTGTTACAGCTTCAAGTAAGTACTATATACCAGACGTGGACTATATTTATAAAACTTTTCTATCGCAGAAGTATTTCATACATATAAACAAAGATGCTCTTGCATGAAATGAAATATTTAATTCAAAAATGTCATAGCAATATATGTGTCAATCCAGGCGTTGCCATATGGTAACACTAGGCGCTTGCAATACCTACATTTTTATATTTTCTATTTTTTGTCTAGGAGAGGTTTTTCTCTTTCTAAAGCACTCGAGATGGTATATGGCGACGACATTGACGGTGATATATTTGTTGAGCCTTCAGATGCCAAAGTAGAGACGGACGAGGATTCCGGAGAAGAGGATCGAGGCGGGTAAGTTTATTTCAAAAAAAGGAACGTGGTCATATTGAAACAGCAATTGAAAGACAAGATGGACTATTGGGTGCTAGATGGATGGGTAACGCAGTAGTGGCGATAACTTTTTCTTCATGCGGCACCCAACCTGTGCGTAAAGTCATAAGATTTTCACAGAAACACAAGCGCAATGTACAAATTCGAAGGCCAAAATTAATAGCAAAGTACAACTCATCATATGGATCAAAATGTGGCCTGTTACCGAATTGGCATACGTGGAAAAAAATGATACTGGCCTATTTTTACGTGGTCGCTTGATGTTGCCCTCCAAAACAGTTGGGTGCTGTATAATAAATCTAAGAAAAACAAATTATCCCAATTAGATGTTAAAAGATAAGTAGCCAATACATATTTATCGAAATATGGTATGCGTGTGCAGTCAAGAAGAACTGAAAGACCATCAACCTCAGCATCATCAGCGGCCGACAGTCGAATATCCAATTATATTCGATTTGACAGAATTGATCATTTGGTGCACCACACCGAAGATAAAAAGAAAAGAAGATGTGCTCGCAATACATGTACATCAATTTTGAGAACAATATGCTCAAAATGCAATGTAGGCTTGTGCATAGATTGTTTCATATCGTTTCAAACTCGGTAACACGCTTGAAATAATTGCTTTTATGTAGTCACAAATTTCAATTTGTTCTAATATTATTATTAATAAATCTGTATATTACCCATTGTAGT